TTGTGACAGTGACCTCAGTTAGGAAATGTGACTTATAGTGGCAGTCCCTATTGACTGTTACAGCACCTTTGTCACCTTCTCATTTGTCCTCTGTACTGTAATACCTTTTTCTTACTGTACTGAAAATGTCAAGGTCTGTACAGTGCCTCTGATGCCTTTAGCTCTTTAAGTGAACACCATGTTACATGCAACAGTAGAATTTGGTTTTGAACTGTTAGTGAACAATTGTAAACCCGCTAGTAAAAAGAAAGTGTTCCCCAAGAACCTAATGAAAGTACATCATGATAACTAGAATGTTTTCATCATAGTAATCACATTGGCTTTGTCAAAAGAAGCGACTGATTGGCCTGCTTCCTGTTCATTTTCCATTTTGTTTCAATTTTACATGTAAAAGTAAAAGGAGACGAATAACAAGTTGTTTATTGTTTAATTTATTCCCAAGTGAAGTTGTATACTATTGTTAAGCCCATTTGATAAATGGCTTAAGAGAAAATTTGTCACATGTTTTAGGCCAATGGCGGGTTTCTTTGCCTTCGGGTGTTCTGTGTTACCCACTAGTGTGGTACAACTGTTAATTCAGATTCTACTTTCCTGTTTAAGATCGTTTTTACAAGAGCTGGGCTGGAGTACATGTTAGTAACTTGATGAGACTTTTCTTTTACAGGGAAAAAGAGTTTCTTTTAAAATAATTTTCAGGGACTTTGGGAACCTAACCATAAATATTACACATAATGTAAGAATAGCTTCATCCTTTAGATATTCCATAAAGTAGTCCAGAATTCCTTGATGTTGCTCCTGGCTGCCCTTTTTGTGCCTGTGTTATTGCTGTGTGTACTTGAAAAAAAAATCCCACCTGCATTGATTTTAAGTGTCCACTTAGTCTCGTTGGTCAGTTACACGGACTAGTCTTCCTTTTCCCGTGCTCAGTGAGCTCTTTCTGAGCACGAGTAATAGCAATAGCTAACAACATCTGCACAGCACCTTACGGTTTGCCGAGAACGTGCGTACATTCTCCTTTGAGTTTTGCCTGATGCTCCTGTCCCGAGATGCCTCGATGTCACGCTGAGAGTCAGTCACCGGTGTTACCAGCTCTACACAAGTATGCAGCGATGCCCTGACTGGGAAGAGGATGTCCAGCTGCTAAGCTTTGCCTCCAGCTGTGTGTCGTTTGATTATCATCATGAGGGGCATGAGTACTGTAGCCATCGAATGTACTTTTGGAAGTGATGTTTTTCTAACCTTTGTCTTGATAGGTTTTATACTCATACTATGAATAGTCTTTACTTTGTATAAATTGGCCTTCTGTTGTCATTAAAAAATGTCCATAATACCATTTTGATGCATCTTGAGTCCATTAATAGTAAGTTGTATTAACCCTTGATGTGCTTTTTTTTTTTTGAGACAGGGTCTTGCTGTGCAAGCCAGGTTGGCCTTGAGCTCACTTTGTAGCCCAGGCTGGTCTCAAACTTTCAGCGGTCCTCCTGCCTCATCCTCCCAAGTGCTGGGATTACAGGCATGCACCACTACTCTCAGCAAACCGGTTTTTTAAGATTGTATTTATTTGCCAGTGGAACAAGAAGATCATGTCCAGAGCTTGGTTTTTAGGTGTTGTATGCCTCTGTGCTGTAGAAATGGTATCCAGAGCCATCAGGGATAAGCATGGGGGCAGTACATACAGACCAGAGACCCTCAGCCTGGTTGAGGTGTGGAGGGTGCTGAAATGGTACGGACCCATTGGGATTGGTGTGACAGTTGGGAAAAGAAAGCTTGCCTTGGGCTGGGGAGATAGCCTGGTAGTCTGAGTGCCTACCTGGCAAGCAGAAGGACCAGGATTCGATCTCCAGTACTGCATGGTGTGCTAGCCCGTGTGGAACCTACCCGGAAACTGGGTGTGGTGGCACATGCCTGTAATCCCAGCACTGGGGAAGTTGAGACAGGAAATTGCTATGTAGATCACTATAGTGTCCCAGCTGCATAGCAAGACCCTGTACCAAATAAAAGATTAAAAAGAAAGCCAACTTGCCCCATAGTTTATTTAAAATTTATTTGAGGGCAAATAGTCCTGAAATACCATTCAAAGGATAAGGCTGAAAAATACTTGGAACTAATTAGGAAAATAATTCCTGGATATGTCTCAAATCCCACCCCTAACGACCATTGCCTTGTGTCCTCTAGCCAGCATTCCAACTCCTTTGTGTGCTTCGAAGGGCTCCAGCTAATTCTTAGAAACAACTCCCTCTTCCAGGCAACGTTTGAGATCACTTGGTTACACAGATACAGCTAATGACCTGTCCAGGGAGTTTAGGATGCAGGTAATGGCACTTTGGACACAAGGGTATTTCTAAGCTGACCAGAATCACTTTGTAGGACAGTAGAAATGAGTTTTGCCAATCCTAACCTAGACCAGCTCAACCTCTGCCGGCAAGGCCTGGAAGTCTCTGGACCAGCGGGGTCCTTCCTGGCCATGGAGAAGCGCTGCTGGAGATCCAGAGTTGTGCCTCCAGGTGTATGTTTTTAATGCTGGACTTGGGGATGTTTATAGGAAGGCAGGAAGAAATCCTTCACTAGGCAGAAGTACAGTCCTGTGCAATGCCATATTGCAGGCGCGATTTAATAGTTGTCACTTTCACGAGTGCACATTTGCAGTACGTACTGCGTTCAGTGGAGAGCCGCTGCATGTACACAGCACGTCTAACTCATTTTCATCCCTTTAACCCCCTCTTTTATGTCTCGGGGCCCCTTCCCTTTTGCAAAAGATCTAGCTCCCTTCTGCCTTATATCTTTTATTTTGCTCTTCAGTTTATAATTTGGATTTCTCATTTCAAAGAAATCATTCTCCATTTAAGCTTGTAAGGGGAC